AAGGCGAACTTGGTGAATGATGCTGATCAAGTTCTATTATTGGCATTCAAAGAATATGAAGAAGGTCAAAGCGATACGTGGTATTTGGATACCGGCGCAAACAATCGCATGTGCGGGAGAAAGGAGATGTTTGCCGAGTTAGATGAGACAATTAAAGGGACTGTCTCATTCAGTAATAACTCTAAAATTCTTGTTGAAGGGAAAGGTACAATTTTGATTCGCTTAAAGAATGATGTACGTCAGTTTATTACCAATGTTTATTATGTTCCAAAAATGTCAAGCAATATCTTGAGTTTGGGACAACTTCTGGAGAAAGGTTATACTGTTCATATGAGAGATCTTAATCTTATGTTGAGAGATCGAAATAATAAACTGATTGCAAATGTGAAGATGTCGAAGAACGTGATGTTTATTCTTAATATAAAGAGTGAGATGTCTCGATGTCTAAAGGCGTGCGTACATGATCCTTCATGGTTGTGGCATTTGAGGTTCGGCCATCTCAATTTTGGCGGACTCAATTTGCTTTCTCGCAAGAAGATGGTTTATGGCTTACCACATATTCATCATACCGATCAATTATGTGAAGGGTGTGTTATCGGCAAGCATTCCAGAACTAGTTTTCCGAAGGAGGCGACTTATCGAGCGAAGAAGCCGCTTGAGTTGATTCATTCTGATTTGTGTGGCCCGATCAATCCTCACTCATATGGTAATCATCGATATTTTGTTACTTTTATTGATGATTTTACTCGGAAAACTTGGGTGTATTTTTTGAAAGAAAAGATAGAAGTGTTTGATACTTTCAAACAATTCAAGAACCTGGCTGAAAAGGAAAGTGACTATTTTATCAAGGCTTTGAGAACTAATCGTGGTGGAGAATTCACCTCAGCCATATTCAACAAATTCTGTGAAAATCATGGTATTTGGCGTTTCTTGACGGCCCCGTATTCTCCTCAACAAAACGGTGTGGCTGAATGGAAAAATAGAACCATTCTTAATATGGTTCGAAGCATGTTGAAGAGCAAAAATTTGTCCAAGGAAGTTTGGGCGGAAGCTGTTTCGTGCGCTGTCTATCTTCAAAATAGATGTCCCACATATGGACTTGAAGGCGTAACTCCACAAGAGGCATGGACAGGGAGAACACTAAGTGTTTCGCACTTGAGAATTTTCGGGAGCATTGCCTATGCTCATGTCCCGGATCAAAAAAGGTCCAAACTTGAAGACAAGAGCAAAAAGCTCATCTTTATTAGGTATGACTCATCATCCAAAGCCTATCGATTATTTGACCATAACACTTTGAAAGTGTATGTAAGTAGAGATGTCAAGTTCCATGAAGATGGAATGTGGGAAGAAAATCTAAAAGAAGAAGCGAATGTTCGTGATGATTCCGATCAAACGAAGTTGAAGGATGAACCTTCACTTTCTTTTCCAACATCTTCTTCAAGTTCATCAACACCATCCTCTTCAAATAGTGTCGATGAACCGCTAATACCAAGATCGAGAAAATTGTCTGAAATTTACGAAGCTACCGAAGAGCTTCATCTTATATGTCTTCTTGCAGATTATGAACCACTTGCTTATGATGATGCGGCCAAAGAAGAAAAGTGGAAAAAAGCCTTGAACGAAGAAATTGAAGCCATCGAGAAAAATCAAACATGGGAGCTTGCTAATCTTCCGAAGGACAAGAAATCGATTGGTGTTAAATGGGTGTACAAGGCCAAGAAGAATGAGAAAGGTGAAGTGACAAGGTACAAAGCTAGATTAGTTGAGAAGGGGTACAAGCAAAAAGCCAGAATCGACTATGATGAAGTTTTTGCCCCTGTGATCCGCACGGAAACGATTAGATTGATTATTTCTATTGCTGCTCAAAATAATTGGCGGATTTATCAAATGGATGTCAAATCAACATTCTTAAATGGCATCCTTGAAGAAGAAATTTATGTCGAACAACCCAAGGGGTTTGTTGTAAAAGGTCATGAAGACAAAGTGCTGAGGTTGAAGAAAGCTCTATATGGGCTTAAACAAGCACCGAGAGCATGGAATCCCAGAATTGATGCATATTTCAAGGCGAATGAATTCTCTCAATGTCCATACGAGCATGCACTCTATTTGAAGCAAGAAAAAGGTGATATTCTGCTCGCCTGTTTATATGTTGATGATCTTGTTTTTACAGGAAATAATTCGGCGATGATTGATACTTTTAAGGCATCGATGGTGAAAGAATTTGAGATGACCGATAATGGTCTCATGAATTATTTCTTTGGTATCGAAGTGAAGCAAAGTGCCGATGGGATTTTTATTTCTTAAAAAGGATATGCAGAAAATATCCTTGAAAAATTTAACATGAAGAACTGTATGCCGGTCAATACACCAATGGAGTGCGGAACCAAGCTTTCGAAGTTTGATGATGGTACCAATGTTGATTCGACATATTATAGAAACTTGATTGGGAGTTTGAGATACTTGATATGCACGAGACAGAATATTATGTATACTGTTGGAATTGTGAGTCGATACATGGAGAAGCCGAAATCATCTCATCTTAAAGCTGCAAAGAGAATACTTAGGTACATCAAAGGTACTATTTCTCATGGCTTACACTATTATTGCTCTGAATCTTTCAAACTTAGAGCTTTTTCGGATAGTGATTATGGTGGAGATATCGACAATCAAAAAAGCACCACGGGATTTGTATTTTTCTTGTGCGACACTGCTTTCACGTGGTCATCAAAGAAGCAACCAAGTGTTACTCTGTCAACATATGAAGCTGAATATGTAGATGCATCTTCATGTGTTTGTCATGCAATATGGTTGAGAAGGCTACTCACAGATATTCTTATGGAGCAGAAGAAAGCAAAGGAGATTTTTGTTAATAATGTTTCTGCTATTGCTTTGGCGAAAAATCCAGTTTTTAATGAACGAAGTAAACATATCGATGTTCGATCCCACTTCATCCGAGAATAGGTCAAAGAGAATGAAGTTGAAGTATTGCATGTGAAAATCGGAGATCAAGTAGCAGATATTTTTACTAAGGGTTAATACCACGAAAAATCCTAAACTAGTACACTTGTGACACATTTACCCCAAACTATTTTTTTGACCATAAAAAACCCCAAACTGGTACACCTGTGACAATTTTACCCCGAACATACCGCAAAAAATTCCAAACTGGTACACATGTGATAATTTTACCCCGAACTAATTTTTAATATTATTTTTAATTTTTTTGAATTTTTTATTCTTTTCTTTTCTTTTTTTTTTCTTCAATTTCAACCTCTGGCCGGTCGCCGGTCCGGCGACCGGCCAGAGGCGGAAGCCGGCGAGGGCCGCCCTCGGCAGCTGCTGGCGAGGGCCGCCCTCGCTCGACTCGGAAAGGGCGACCCTCGCCGGATCTAGCGAGGGCAGCCCTCGCTGGCGTCGGATGAGGGCTGTCCTCGCCCGACGCCGGCGACGGCGGCCCTCGCCCGACGCCGGCAAGGGCGACCCTCACCAGCAACAAGCGAGGGTCGCCCTCGCCTGGGCGGGCGAGGATAGCCCTCGCCCGACGCCGGCGAGGGTCGCCCTCGCCCGACGCAGGCGAGGGTCGCCCTCGCCTGAGTCGGGCGAGGGTCGCCCTTGCCCTGGGCGGGCGAGGACAGCCCTCGCCCGATGCCGGCGAGGGCGGCCCTCGCCCGACGCAGGCGAGGGAAGCCCTCGCCCGATACCGGCGAGGGTCGGCCTCGCCGGATCTGGCGAGGACGGCCCTCGCCCGACGCCGGCGAGGGCGGCCCTCGCCCGACGCAGGCGAGGGAATCCCTCGCCCGATACCGGCGAGGGTCGCCCTCGCCGAATTTGGCAAGGACGGCCCTCACCCGACGACGGCGAGGCGGCCCTCGCCCGACGCCGGCGAGGGCGGCCCTCTCTGGCTTCCGCCTCTGGCCGGTCGCCGGATCGGCGACCGGCCAGAGGTTAAAGATGAAGAAAAAAAAATAAAAGGAAAAAAATAAATAAAAAAAAAATTCGAAAAAAATAAAAAAAAATATTAAAATTTTAATTCAGGGTAAAATTATCACATATGTTCCAGTTTTGGGATTTTTTGTGGTAAGTTCAGGGTAAAATTGTCACAGGTATACCAGTTTAGGGTTTTTGATGGTCAAAAAAATAGTTCATGGTAAAATTGTCATTGGTGTACCAGTTTGAGGTTTTTTATGGTCAAAAAAATAGTTTAGGGTAAATGTGTCACAAATGTACCAGTTTAGGGTTTTTCATGATATTAACCCTTTTACTAAACCTCTCAAGATCGATGCTTTTCAAAAATTCAAGAGCTTGGAATGATCAATGGAAGAGAATTTGGTTTAAGGGGGAGTGTTAGAAATTAAATTAAATTTGTTGGTACTTGTTTTTTTTTTTTTGAGTCTGTTCATATTTCCATATTTTGATTTTTCGTGTTTTTAGGTGAAATAATTGTTTTTTCAGATATATGGTGAGATATTAAGAGATAAGATGAGATATTATTTCTAGTTATATTTTAGGAAAGATAAGGGTCAAGTAACTTTTCCTTAAATAGGGGAGTCTTGTAATTTTTTTATAAGAGTGAAATCTGAGTGAAATATATTGAGTCAGAAAATTCTATCTATCTATCCTTTTCTTTTCTTTGCGCGAGTTGCGATTGTTTCATCTTCAAAAATTTCTTCTATCAAATCAAGTTGTTGCCGCGTCTCTGACGCTCAACAGAAACCACAGGCGAATGTATTTGAGTTCATTCAAAATAGGCCACTGCTTGATGCTTCTTCCCTAGCCTTGCATTTTCTCAGCGAGCCAACAGAGCCCCTAGTTATTAAAACCCAACCAAAACCCTCACATTCGCCTGTGACTCGTGAATTTTAAACAGCATTGGACCTTCGAACGTCAGACAAAGTCCGCGGGTCTGACCTCATTCACTCACGGGACAGAGACGTGATCTAACAAAAGAATAAATCAACCACTAGTTATGAGAGAGCGAGGCAGGGATGAAAGCGAACTACCGATGACGATGATGCACTTGTCGAGCTTAGTGCAGCACTTCATACGACGGAGAAGCTCATTCATGAGATCGACGGAAGGCACACCTTCCAGATTCACCGCACTCGTGCTCGCCATTCTCGCAATAGTTTCTCGCACGCGGGATTCGGTTACTCCACTTCTCGAAGAAGAAACCACGAGTAGAGAAAGAGAGAGAGAGAGAATGAACATATACTCTTTTCCTGTTAAGGAGAGTCGTAGAAAAGCTAGAAACGAAAACGACAGGAATCTTCGATCCTCTCCCAAAAGCCATCGACCATACCGAACAACCTATCCATGGAAGTCCACTTCCCGCTTCTGCCCTTGATTTAGAACTGACCATGCAAGTACGGGAAAAGGAGATAACTGCACTATTGTTTTACGAACAAACTCATGAAGATAATAACAATAAGTCTCTCCGTTGGGAGTTCCTGAAACACTCAAAATCAGCAAATGGCTTATGAATTTACTCAAATTCATATCGGGGCTTGGCATTCGGGGGGAGTCTGAGGATGTCTAGTCTTATCCGTACAATAGTCGTAATCCAAGTACTTCCGCTTCGCATTTTGGTATTGCGCTATTTGAGCTGCGTTTAGGGTCTGATTTTGCGCCCATGCATCTCCGTGAGTGTAGTCGCATTTCCCTGGATTCGAAGGGTCGGACACGACGCACCCATCAATGTCAAAGCCTTGGTATTGGGCTTTAAACGGGCCCTTGGACCAATCGATCTTCCCGGCCCACCCCTCAGCGTGCCATATCGTCGCTTCCACTAGCATCCCTTGTGTTGGGTAGTTCGCTTCGTTCCCCAAGTTCTTGAACACTCTGAGCGGTATGTCGTCCACAAAAAACCTACCATAATAACAAATATCAAAATGGATTTGGGACGCTGCATTTCGACAAAAGAATCACATATCGGGAGCTTAAGATCTTTAGTTCGTACTCGGACGACATAATGATAACACATTCGTAGCATCGCCTTTTCCTTGTTTTCGGCTTATGTCCTCATCTAGTTATATCTTCATCAACTTATGCTTAGCCATTACCAAATAGATGGTTTCTCATTTCAAACAGACAAGTAGAGAAAGAGAGAGACTTACACTACTTGATATTGGTTCTGAAGAATCGTATAGGAATGGAAATCGGTAGACGGATCAAACCAAAGACGAAATATTTGCTCCCGGTTCCCAACTCCTTTTGTGAATACGTTGGTACTCAATTTATAAGGTGGTCCGTTGGAACCAATGAACTCAAAGTCAATCTCATCGTGTTGGGCTTCCGTTGAAGTTAGCTATGAGCCAAATTTCAAAAGCGTCACGCATCGAAATCCCCGAAAGAAAAGATGATGGTAATAATAAACAAGTGTAGCTCAACTCTTATGGGCATGTTGTGGCAAGATAATGTGCACAGTAGATGTATTCAAGAAGGCCCAGATGAAAAGAAAAAGCTCACTCACATAGAAGGAGGTAACAACTCCTGGTGATTTACTATGTGGAATTTTGATCCTCATGTTGAATAATCCAGATAGAAGACGTGATTTAGATTGAAAGCCAGCCCCTGAAAATTTGAGTTTGAATGATAAATACAACTTAAAGACATTGCTGTAAAAAAGAAATAAAAAAGAAATATAGATAAGTGACATCTACCGTAAAATGATGAGACATAACTAAAATGAAACAAATCACGAAATATCTTGATCACCTGAACTTTGATTCAATGTAAGTTCGACTTTAGTGTCGCCGTTGAGGCTGGAAAAATGATCGTTTCCCCAAATGATGTTGTAGTTCCGAGAGAAGGTAACTTGTCGTCTTCCACATGCAAATAACATATTCACCATCACAAAGCCGAGGAAGCCCGAAAGCAGATAAGATTCCATGGATCCTCTTTCAAACTTTGAGTTTCACCAAGTCCTGTGATAATTTTCACCAACTCATCAATCCGACACTTTATATAGATATATATTCAAAGCCTTGCCGCTTGCGGTGAAGTACAAACGTCACAAACGAGAACGTGGAATGCAATTTGAGAAGCATTATGAAGATGATATACTTTATGTTGCTTTTAACAAATGCCTCGTGAATGGCGTTATTCGCCAGGGGACCGTAGAATATAATCTTGCATTTGAGTTTTCTCTCCCGTGGCATGTAAACCTACTTTGCATTCATTTGGTCAATTCTACTTGCCATAAACTCAAAACACAATTTGCACGCATCAACCATAAACATGAAAGAGCAGCAGGAAACTGCTTTTTTGCAATAGTCCCGAGATCTAAGGAAAACGTCAAGCAAATAGTCTTGCCAATCGAAATGACAAGAAGAAACTTAGTTGGAAATGGAGCCAATATAGATGAGCAAACTCACAGTGATAAAATAAACCCTCAAACGAAGGATATCACAAGATTGGAGGTAACTACAATTGTGTTTACACATGACTACTCGAAATAAATAGGCAACCCAAGATGAGTAATTGAGTGAGTCCATTTTCAACCTTTAAAAACAAGATCAGATCTTTCCCAAAACACTATGAAATCCACCATAAAAGAGTTCTATGTTAATATACCCAATCTAGTTATTGACCTACTTTTGTTTCCTAATAAAAGGGGGGCAAAACCCTAGTTTTACATCGTTACTCTTTGGTCTGATCTCCTATCAACAAAGAAAGTAAATCTTTTAATGGCTTTATTAATGATAGAGTGTAATTCACATCACATGATTGAAATACCCAATTTGCTAACTGATCTGCACATGAGTTTCCTTCCCAAAAATTATGTATGATTTTGACCTGTTGGAAATTCTCTGATAGTTTCCCAATCCGAGTAATCGATTAAGTGCATTCTCAATCCTTAGAAAGCAAGATCAGATCTATCCCAAAATACTATGAAATCCACAATAAAAGAGCTCCATGTTATTCTATCTCATTTGGTTATTGGACTACTTAATGCACCTCTTCATAGACTATGTCAAGGCCGACTAGTGATGTAGCAATTGACATTTAAAGATTGGGAAAGAAAGTCTAATTGGACAATTTTCGCTTCAACTATAAGGACATCCATGTACGTAGACATTGAAACGTAGACAGGCAAGATTTTAGAATCATTGAATATCCAAATTAAAAAAAAATCATATCTTATTAGGAAAAAAAGAATTCAAAAATAAGATGCCCACATTATTATTCTTATATCATATTCTACCTGTTAAGGATAACAACACATGACTCATTCAAATTCAAAAAATTTTGAGCATAGAGATAGCAAGGAAGACATCATACGGGTGATCATCTTTCCACTCTTATAAAGCTTCCTTTTTCTCATTACAAAGACAAAAATTCTTCATATGCTCTCTCAAAAGCATAATGTGGATCACTTGATGTAGATGTCGGCAGCCAAAAAAATAAACCGCACGACTAGATTGCCTTTGCACCATTGGGTAACAAATTATTTTTTTAAATCATGAATTTCGCAATTACCATAAGGTCCAGAAATGGAATTTATCTGAATTATTAACTACGTAAAGATTAATCCAAATGTTCATTGGCTAATGTATATTTCCTGGCCAAAAGGTGTTGACTTAAATCTAAATGGGCTATACATCACATAGAATAAAATAGAAATTTCATTGCTAGATTCATGTTTAACGAATTTTAATTTGCTTGATGCCCCGTTAGTTCTTAGATTTTTAGAGGATAAATCCAAGAATTACGTTCCTTACCAAAAAAAAAATCCAAGAATTACGCATTGAAATCTTTTTAGGTACTTGGTTAACAAATGTCTCGGAGATGTAATTGGTTTTATTTCAATTTTTTGATAAATCAGAAAAGAAGAAATCATTATCACATAAATTTTCTAAGATATGTAATAATGGACTGTTCCGGATTAATTAACTAATATTATCGCTGGCATCTATAACTCTCGATAGTTTAACGGTAAACGAATATTCGAAATCGCTTGACAGATGATGCTTACCGTACCCTCGAATTGTTTCGAGACAAATGCAAGAAAGTGATTACTTTGATGATTCTGTGAGCTGCTTAGGGTTGGGTCTTGCTGGATCTATCCGAACTTATAAAGCATCCAAGCTAACTCCAACTGCACAATCATCGATAGTGGCCAATGACTTGAGCTTAGTAGCTTGTAAGTCTCTCCTCTCACTTGCCTTCCCAGTCATTCAGCCTGCATGTGCAAAGATTTGCTTTCCGTAAGGTAGTTTATTATCTTCGTCATGGTAGATCTAACCAGTTATTAGAAGATGCCGCGAGCGAGCGAAAGTAGCTTACCTGTGACTTAATCCACTTGTTCTTAGCCTGCCTTACTGGCAACACAGTGAAACCAACTACTTTCTACAGAGCAAACATCATCCGTGTTGCTTGATCTGCCAATCTACGTGACTTTCTTGGTCGAGAAGTATGGTTGCTCATGTAAAACCCCTCTAGGAGATACAAGATATATGGCAGACCGTCTACTACCAATGCATTAACTTGAGAACTGACTCTGCCGTTATTTGATATACAATTGTCACCTGTTAAGTGAGAGAGAACTTTCCTTCTGCCTTTCCAGGTCAGGTTTTGGCATTGGATGGGTGGTTTGGATACCTCTTCCTATTGCCACAATAAATAATCACACCAGGCGCAAGTACGAGAAAAAAGAAACATAACTGCATTATCTTTTTTTTATCTACAAACTCGTGAAAATGATAGCAATAAGTCTCTGATGGGAGTTCCCGAAACACTAAAAATCAGCAAATGGCTTATATGGTATTACTCAAACTCCTATCGGCGATTGGCATTCGGGAAAAGGATCGGGGTATCTAGTCCTATCCATACAATAGTCGTAATCCAAGTACTTGCGCCTCACATTTTGGTATCGCATCATTTGACGTGCGGTTAGGGTTTGATTTCTCGTCCACAATGCAGTCCCCTGATTGTAGTAGCATCCTCGATAAACCAACGGAACGTCCGGCACGACGCACGCATCAATGCCAAAGCCTTGAAAATGGGCTGTGAACGGGGCCTTCGACCAGTCGATCTTCCCGGCCCAATCCTGGGCGTTCCATATTGTCCCTATCACCTTCATCTCTTGTGTTGGGTAGGTCGCTTCGAGCCCAAAGTTCTTGAAAACTCTGATCGGTATTTTGTCCACAAAAAACCTGCCATAATCACATGTCGGAATGGATTCATGGCGATGTGTTTCGACAAAAAAATTATGTATCAAGAGCTTAAGATCTTCGTTTCTTGCTCGGACGGCGTAATGACAACACATTCATAGCATTGATATTTATCCTCAGCTTTGTCTGTATTCATTGACACATTCACATGGAGATAGGGAAATATATGTCTTCATCAACTTATGTTTTTGCCATTACCAAATAGATGTTTCTCATTTGAAACAGACACGTAGAGAAAGAGAGAGGCTTACACTACTTGATGGTGGTTCCAAAGAAACATATAAGAATGGAAATCGGCAGTTGGATCAAACCAAAGATGAAATTTTTGCTCCCGGCCACCAACTCCTTTTGTGTATACGTTTGTACTCAATGAATAAGGTGGTCCATTGCTTCCAATGAACTCAAAGTCAATCTCATCCTGTGGGCCTTCCTTCGAAGTTAGCTACAAGCGAAATTCGAATGCGTCACTCGTCGAAAACCAGTAGTATGGCTCCACTCAATATGGGGTATCTTATGGCTAGATAATGTGCATAGTAGATGAAGTCAAGAAGCACTTCATGAAAAGAAAAACTTTACTCACATAGAAGGAGGTAAGAACTCCTGGGGATTTTTGTTCTGGAATTTTGATCCTCAAGCGAAATAATCCAGCTTGAAAATATGATTTAGATTCGAATCCAGCTCCTGAAAATACGAGCTTGTACGATAAATACAAGTTCAAGAGATTTCAATAAATTTATATGGCTCTCCAAATCAAAAAAGAAAAAGAAAAGAAAAGAAAATTAGATAAGTATGATCTACCATAAAATGATGAGACATAACTAAAATCAAACAAATCACTAGGCAGCATAAACACCTGAACTTTGATCTAATGTAAGTTGGACTTCGGTGTCATTGTAGAGGCTGGAAAAATGAGAGTTTCCCCAAGTGACGTTGTAATTTTCATAGAAGCTAACTTGTTGTATTCCACTTGCAAATAACATATTCGCCATCAGAAAACCAAGGACGCCTGAAAGCAGATAAGATTCCATGGAAACTCTTACAAAACTAGATTTTTCACTAAGTCCCGCGTCTTTATTTTCACTTGCTAATCCGCCGGACACTTTATAGAGTAATACATTCAAAGCCTAGGACACGTGTGAAGTGCTTGCAGTGTGTAAATGAAGTGAAGTTACATACGAGAACATGTAAAGCAATTTAAGAGCCATTATGAAGGTCATTCAATGCAATTTAAGAAGCGTTGTAAAGGTGATATACTTAATGGTGCTATTAACAAATGCCTTGTGAATGGCGTTATTCTTCTGGAGACTATAATATCTTGCACTTCAGTTTACTCTCAAGGCATTGCATGTAAACTTACTTAGCATTCATTATTTTAAAAGAATTAATTAATTTAAAAAAAGGTTATTTTAATCCACTTGTCTCTAAATCTTGACTTTAAAGACAAAGTATCATTTTTAATGAATGATTTTGATTGTTTAATTTTGATCTATGGTATAATCAATTAATGTTATTTATAAGAAATTTCACAAAAACAAATGTTGGTTCCAAATAGCACAGGGAAAACCTTGAACCGACAAGGGCTGGCAATGTTCGACATGATCTTTTTACACGATAACAATCAAATGGGGAAAATTGTCTAAAAAGTTCCAAACCTATTGCACTTTTGCCAATTTTTGCCAATTCAGTCCTAAATCTTTTAAGTTTGTCAGTTCGGTCC